GACGTGACACACTGGAAGCCCCAGAGTCCCCCTTGGTCACTAGTATCTTCTCTCTGTCTCACCCCTGTGTTGGCTGCACTTGCTGAAGAGCTTTTCTGGGACCCCCAGTGACCTTGAAGTCCTCGAGACCTGGGCTTAGCAGAACCATCTTGGTCAATAGAGGCTACTCATCAACCAGACCATGCAGCTGATAAATCTGAACAGCCAGTTAAAGCAGTCATACAAGTGATGTGTACAAACAAACCTTTCATTTTCCCTTGCTAATGAGCATCTGTCCACCAGTTACTTGATTTGAGGCCACAATCATCGCTTTGGCCATGGATCTGTTTGGTGTGCCCGGTTGTATGTCTTGCATAAACTTCATGGATACCATCTATGTCTTCCGGATTCAGTTCCTTGAAAGTGGAGCCAGGCATGAGAAGTAATCTGAGAGCAGAACTTCCTTCGATGTTTATGATTCTCTCTACTCTCTTAGAACTGCCTTGCTGTGGCTGATTTGGCAGCAATTTCTGCTTAGCTACTCCGCTTCATGGAGTGTTTCTAAAGCATCCAGGTGGTTTTCACAGTCTGCATCTACATTTCTTTTGCTTTTTTTTTTTTTTTTTGCAGTTTTTGGCCGGGGCTGGGTTTGAACCCGCCACCTCCGGCATATGGGTCCGGTGCCCTACTCCTTTGAGCCACAGGTGTGACTCTGCATCTGCATTTCATACAATTACAGTAGTAACTAAAACTTCAGCCCTGGGTGAGCATGGAAGTCACCTGGCAGTGGTGGCAGGACTGGAGTGGTGTGGGGCAGGGCAGGCAGATGTCACCCCAGGGTCTGGACCACAGAGGGGAGCTCCAGCTTCTCTGAGCTGGCAAGGAAGGGGCGGGGGAAGCAGCTAATTAACAAAGTTCTACTTGTGTTGCTACTTCTACCAAGTCTGAGGAAGGGCAGAGGAAGAGGGCTTTTCCCCATATTTCTTAGTCTTTCTGGAAAATCTCAGAGCTGTGTGCACTCCCTTCAGACTGTGGCAGGAAAACTGGGAGATGGTGCTGTGTCCCCAGGGAGCACAGAGGGCCCTTGCTGTCCAGGAGCAGGCCAGGAGGACAGGGAGGTGAGGAAGGCTGCTAGAACCCCCAGGTGTTCTTGGGAATCCCAGCACCTGACTCCAGCCCTGACACCGGGCCCACCCTCCACCCTCCTCCCCAAGGCTGGAAGGAGATGGAGGGAAGAGCTCGTATTCATGACACGAGCCTCCCTTTAGCCATGCACTGATGCCTGGTGGATCTGTGATTGAGAAATGGTGCTTCTCTGGGACAGTGGCTGTGC